ATACCGCCGAGAACGGCGGTCAGTGTAAAATGCACTTCATGGGGCCTTTTGGAATGCTTTGTTGCCGTAGGAGTCTGAATGTAGACGGTAAGCAGAAAAAATCTCGATGTCATACTTGTATCTGTGTACTTGGTCCCGAGGGCTGAACTGTGGCACCGATATTAAATCAGGTTCGGCCATCTAGTACGCCTCGTTGTGACCATGTGTCCTACCATCCTCGCCGCAAGGACATGACCCACGATATCAGGAGGCCGCGCAACCTCTCTTTGTACATTTGTGGCATGACCTCACTCAAGTGCCGTCCGAGCAGACGCACCAAATCCGTCCAACTGTGGCTGTCTCCGCGTCCATTGTGGCGGGGTCCGTATAAAATGGACCAACCAAACATCCTTGAGCCACTCCAGGCCTCGTTCCAAGATGCGTCTGCGCCTCAGAAACCGCACCAAGTCTCGTCAAGTAAGTCACTTTTTGCTTTAGAGTCGAACGAGATGACGACCTATCGTACGACGATGCAGGTCCCACAAGTTGAAGAGGCCAAGCTTGAGGTCGACGCGCTCTCGGTTGGCTTCAGGTGCCTGCTCATTGACGAGATATACGAGATAGTTGTGAGACTTTTGTATGGCGACGGGTGTGGGAAGGGGTCTGTAGCCGCTCTCGCGATAACCTGTCGGTCCTTTCAGCCTACTGCGATCAAGGTGCTTTGGGGGACTCTCAATAGCTTCGCTCCGCTTGTGAAGTTACTTCCACGCCACGAATGGTATGAGGTCCAACGGTGCGATGGCAGCCGTGCACTCGTACGTCAACTTGTCAGCGGCTATACTTCATTGTCTGACGATTATATTACAAAATATAGGATATCAGGTGGGGCGTGAAAGCAGCAAAACTCGACTTGACGCGTTTGCAATACTACGTCGGATTTATCAAGCGCTTCTCCTGGCGGGGAAACCTGGACGTCCGGAGTGGCGCCGTTGAGTACTTCCTCCAGCGTATACCACATTCAGTCCGCCTGTTCCCGCGAGTCTCCTCATTCACATTTACTGACGGGCTCCCGGAGGTCTCCCGCCTACTTCTGCATCGTAAAGCGTTTGTCAACCCGGCTTTACTGGAGCTACACTACGAAGCGCTGCCCTCGGAAGCGCGGCTACTAGCTGAGGCTCTCGACAAGGTCCGCAAGTGGTGCCCCAAGCTGTGTATTCTCAGAGTTCCTAGCTATGACGACTATATTCACGTTCCAACGGTCATCCCGAAGCTCTCTGCGATCATCTGCGTAGCAAACCTCCGGATGTTTGACTCAATGGTTTCAATCACGTCTGAGGCTCTCCTAGCTCTGGCTCGTATGCCTCGTCTGGAGATTGCCAATATCCGCCTGGGGCCTGATGCGCTGAACCTATGGACCGTCACTTGTCTCCCTCGGCGGTCTTTCCCTGCACTCAAGTCTATCGCGCTGCACATGTTTGATCTAGACCAGGCCTCGCTGCTCTTTCTGCAACGCATGGGATCTGAAAGGCTAATGTTCTTCAGAGTCTCTTCAGAGATCCATCCGCACAACCCACAGCCTTTGATTGCTTACTTCGAGGCTCTTGCTGCTGCGCCGTTCGCGCCAATCATGCAAGACCTCCAGCTGCAGTTCGGTCACCCGGAGTACGTCCACGCACCGCTGTGCTCTATCTCGCTCGACGTTCTGCAGCCGCTGCTAAGCATCAAGAGCCTCACCACGTTCGTGATACGGTCGCGCAACTATGACCTGGATGATGCGGGGTACCGCGCGATCGCCCTTGCGTTCCCGCGGATCCATACGCTGCTCCTCCACCCTCGCGCCGCGATGGATACGGACTACCCGCCCGCACACATGCGCTCGCTGCGGCACTTTGCCGAGCACTGCTCAAATCTGGCCGTCCTGGGTCTCTTCATCGATGTCACCGACGTCCCGGAGCTCCCGGAGGACTTCGAGTCGCAATCGCTCGTGTCTGTGTACCATTTTATCTGCCACGGGCCTGAGAGCTATGTTGGACGTGCGTCGGCGTACTTGGATGCGATCTTCCCGCGAAACGCGCTCCGGCTTGAGGAAGCGCGGGCGCACCCTGAGCCAGGAGATTACTTCGTGCCCCCGCGCGCACACTCGCCACGAATGCCGTGGACGCCTGCCGGTGTAATGGACACGGTGCGTGGTCTGTATCATCGGCGTCGACGGTCGTGAGCGTATGCGCAACCTTATTTGTGCTCCATTTACAACGTATGACACCTTTTGTCACTCTTTCATCACTCGATATTTTATAGTACTTGTACATCTCGGACTGGGGTTAATTTAGGCCGTATGATCTATGAGACTGTGCTGGTACATTTGATGTGCTCATAGTTATTTCGCTATCATTAGGTTATGATGGTATTGATTATGTTCTGATGTCTTCGTCACAATAGATTGTTTGACCGAGCTCTCCATTTGTTGGCTATTCTCACTCACTGGCACTCTCTGCTTGTTTCTCACAGTTATGACTGCTCTCGTCATGCTCATTAACGCTAGCGACCCCATCTTCATCCACCCTCATCGCTAGTGGCCAGTACTACCCACCATAATTCTGAACACAAGAAACAGGCGCTGTGTAAGGCTTCCCACGAGATACTCACCATTTGCATGTACTCAGGCGAAGTCGTGTCCACTTTGTGTAAGCACAACATCCGTGCGGTGCTTCTGTGTATCGGCGTTTCAAATATCGTACAAGTGTTTGTTACGTCCGGTGACTAACTCCAGGTGGCGAACATTCCTCTTTCACCTCTGCCGTCGCCATCCGAATGATCTAGACCACCCTCTATGAGGGGCGGATCGCCTGTTGGAGTGGCCACTTATCGAAGTGTCCTGCCTGCGCATACTGTCGGGGGAGTTCCGTCCCATCGCCCTGCAGATCAGCACATGTCCATCAACATGACCGCAAAATAGCACATCAGACACAGTACGCACACAGAACCAGCTAGGGAAGCCGACGTCAAACGGCTTCACACTCTCGAGCTCTTTGATATGCTCGGGCGTGAGCGTAATGTCTAACGCGGCGATATTGTCCATCAGATGCTCGATCTTACGCCCGCCGACAATCGGGAAAACATATGGTGTCTTTTGAAGTACATACGCGATCGCAACTGCCGTGAGAATCATGACATCAGTAGCAAAACTCAGGATTCTATGGGAATGCGCACCAGAGGTGATACTTGGTGCACCGACCTCACTGGCAACCTTCTCGAGTGCGAGGCAGACCTTGCGCTCCTCGGGTGTACGCTCCCATTCGGGATTGAAGACCGTTCTACCTGCGCGCCCGGTGTCAAAATCTTGCAGCACTGCACAGATGTCGACTGAGGCGAGCACGACCCACCTTTCTCTCCAGTCTGTCTTCGCCGCTCTTCCTCTGCGTCTGTCCGTATTTTCCCCGCGTGGAGGACATTCCACGGCGCGAGCGCCATCCCTATATGCAGGAGGAGTGGAAAGCCATTAGCTATCAGGGACTTTGGGGCGGGAGGCCAGTACCTTCGACGCGCGCCATGGGGATGATATCGCGCTCAAAATCGCGCGAGAGAATGCTCCATGCTCCTTGGTACACGACGAAGGGCGTCTTGCCGGTCAAACGCGCATACATATTGGCCCTGGACACGATCCATGCGGGCGTGTCTGAAATGCCCTATATGCACCATCCGCATCAATTGGAATTATCTGTAGTGATGGAGAACAGTATCGACGTACGAGATAGAGAACCTTCCCTGCTGCCACAAGGTGGTGCAACCCGTTCATGACCTCCTCCACGCCGGACTCCCAGTCCCACTGCCAATGGATGGAAGGGTCAGAGTCGTCGTTGTATCTGGAAGGGACTCTAGCACCGACTACCCACCCAGTGTACGTAGAGGATATCCACATAGTTCGTACGCAGCTTCTTGAGCGATGCTTCCAGCGAAACATGGAGCGACTTCATGTTGTTGCCCACATATGACGACTTTTGAGGAATGTCCGCCGCGCGCTTCCAGTTCGAGGTATACTATCATCCGCATATATGCGCCTATTAACACACCATCAGCGCACAAAGGACAATCCTCGTACGTACCTTGGTCGCGACGACGATCTGGTCGCGCACCCCGCGGCTCTCCATCCACTCGCCGAGGAATATCTCAGACGTCTCGTCCTGGTAACCATTTGCCGTATCGATAAAATTTCCGCCCGCATTGTAGAACGCATCGAGCAGCGCAAAGCTGCTCTCCTTGTCCATCTGGCCCATCCCGATCTTGGCCCACTGGTCGCCAATGCTCATTGCACCGAGACAGATTGGAGAGACGTGCACGCCCGCGAGGGGTGCGAGAGCGCGGTGCCGGCCAAGCTTGGTGGTGAGAGGCTTTGGGGGTACGAAGAACGACATGCTGTGCTGAGATGGGTGCGAATGGGAGACTGGTCCTCGGTCGGTCTTTTATCTTGGGGTGAGGGAATCATTTTTCTCAGGTTCACGCTTCCGCGATACGACGGGGTCTGTCAGCCGCTCCGGCAGGATGAGTGGGGACCATGGCGATATCGATGATGCCACATGACTACGCATGCGTAGGCGGCACAATACTAAACAATACTTACGTTGGCCGTCGGCGGTGCATTGGCTTGAGCTTTTCCTGAAGCAGGCGCAGCTGCCTGCCACTGGCCGGGGCCCGCCGGAACCGAGGGTGGGTCCCAGATGCAATACGATGAGTTGCCCAAGTGCAGTTGTTCTCGTCTTTGAAATCGACGTCTTGTTGTAGAGTATACATCCAAGAACTATAACCAAGTATACAGCTTGATTAGAATACTTTCAAAACTGTCTCTCTACTGCTTGCCTTATATGGCAACTCCACTACGTATCGGCAGAGACGCCAGCGCGTAGCCTACTTACCTCACTCTCATGACTATCAACTTCCGTCTGCCGGCGGCACCCAAGATTCTGGCCGCTTGTGATTCTCAGCAGATGATGTCTCCAGGTCAGCGAAAGGATATTTATGTCCGAGTTCACACGAACCCTCAGCCTAGGCAATAAACGTAAGATCGCGTTCGAGGTCATGTTGCAAAATGGTTATGACTCGCAACCTCGATGCATGACAGTGGTGGCTTGTTTGTCTACTTGGCATACATGTTCGCATTGAGCACGATCCAAGTAGGAAGTTCTCTTTAAGGTTGCTCCATACCATAGTGAAACTGAACCCGTAGGGAAGCAACACTAACCGGATGGAATGTTTACCCTTGTATGACTAGGTGGTGCAGGCTGTTTATCACTTCCTCAATGCCGCATAATGAGTCCCGCTACGAATGGGAGCATCAGCGAGGGTATAAGGTACAGATATAATCTGACTCACCTAATGCAAGTCAAGACCGTAGATATATGCGGTATGCAATTGACAAAGAGGTGGGGCAACTTCATGTTGTTCCTCACGTAGCTCGTCTTTTGCGGAAGGTTTGTTGTTGGTGACGATGATGTGGTCGTGCGACTCGCGACTCTCAATCATCTCTGATAACTTGTCCTGGTAATTGTAAGTGGTGTCGATGAAGCGTCCGTCCGCGCGTTGAGCATTGGGGAGTGAAAGCTATTTGGCCTAGTGTGCCGAGCGGGTCACTACCACCTCTGATCGAGTACGTATAGCAATGTGCCCTATGTAAGACGAAGAACAGCACACTCTCGCACTATCACGCATCCTGCCATGACATTGACAAGTCCCGGCATCCAGCCGACGACAATAACCTTGATTTTATAACTCCAGTTGACTATATGCGTGACATTCCCTGTTTTTCCCACAGCAATCGCTTGCCATTATGCCTCCCTTGGTAGATGACATGCGCGAGTCGCGCGCGTTACATCGGGATTGTGCTCGCCTGCACGCACCGCCTGATGTGTGCTCTATATGCAGTGAGCCCCAGGTGATAGGTTTCTGCTACGAGCAAGAAGTGGTAACGTAAAATGTGTAGACCTGGTGTAGACACGAATCAGTCTCTATCCCATCTCACGCATTGTGACTCACAACTAGTCGCGTTTGTGAGTATATCTACTGTAAGCAGTATGTGCTTTCGCTACCCCCTGAAATGGATACTAATCTGCATGTTAGTAGTACCTCACGGTATGGAGGAGGATGGGGAGTATGAATCAGGAATTAAAAAAAGTTTCGGAAAGACTGATGATGGGTGACCAGGGTCCTCGTAATTGACCAAATTTGGCAAGATGGGACATTGCGATCTGCAACTTGGAACACAGAGGCGGGTACCTATCATCGTTGGCATGTACTTAAGTCGCTCCCAGTAGGCAGTCCTTTCCTGCTCACATGTTATCTGCTTTCTTGCTAACTGTCGCCACCTTCGCGGTCGCCGCGGCCAACGCTGCTCAGACGCGTCTCTCGCCTCCGCCATATCTCAATGGCCTATCGGTAAATGGCAGCGTGTTCGAGCCGTACAACACCAGTTCGTTCGTGCCTCTGGAGGACTTGAGTCTGTTGTCGATCACAGACTTCACGACACTCCGTCATCCTGTGTTTCCTCAGCACTCGGTGCGCGTCAAAAAGTCCAACTTTTGCGACGGTTCTGTCGCGTGCGTCCATCATTCTCTTCCCCGAGACTTGGGCTGATATCCCGTAAAGGGCATATACGGGCTACATTGACGTCCAAGCCCGTCACTTATTCTTCTACTTTTTCGAGAGTAGACACGATCCTGACACAGATGACGTACTCTTTTGGACAAATGGAGGCCCCGGATGCTCTTCCTCATCTGGTGTCTTTATGGAACTTGGTACATGTCGTGAATTTCATGTCTACGTATTGAAGACTCAGTCATGTCAGGTCCCTGCAAACTAAATAGCCCCACCAACTTGACATACAACCCTTACTCGTGGAACGAGCGCGCTAACGTCTTCTTTATTGACCAGCCAGTCGGTGTCGGGTTCTCCTACGCTGAGTACGGAGAAACGGTCGTACGCAGTGACACTATCGTCCCGTTTATTCGTCTGAATATATGCCATCTTGCAGACCACAACACCAGAAGCGGCGAAGGATGTTGCCGCGTTCGTAGCCATCTTCTTCGAGCACTTCAGCAAGTTCAAGGGTCGCGGATTCCACATGGCCGGCGAGTCCTATGGTGTACGTTCCATACCCTTGCACTCGTTCGAATGTCAGCTTCGAGCCTTTCGCACACCAGGGTCGTTACATTCCGGTCTTTGCGTCTGCAGTATATGACCAGAACACCAAGCTCATTGAGGCCGGTATGACGCCTATCAACCTGACGTCCATTATGATCGGTAAGTTTATAGACAATGGACGAATCATCTGTAGCTTAAAAACAACAAGGAAATGGTTTGACAAATTGGGCAACGATGATCCCTTCGTACTACGAGATCCAGTGCAGCAACCCGTTAGCTGCGCCGGTACAAGATATCAGGTATGCATCAGCTGTACCATTTATGTCCACTGACCAGACGGACGTGTTTCGTAGTACGTGTGTGAGAATGAAACAGGCGGTACGTGGCATATCGTCATGATCTTCTCTTCGTGCCTGTTTACAAGTGCAACCACAGCTAGGCCGCTGCGAAGATATGCTGAAGACATCCTGTCTCGATAAATTCGAGAGCATCGATTGCAACGGCGCCCTCCTCTTCTGCCTCGCGGAACTTGACGCGCCCTATTATGCACGCAGTAGGTATCCACCCGCCTTTGTGTTTCCCCCACTGACATAGGCAGACTACAACCCGTACTACCTGGGCAGACAATGGTATGTCTCTGTAGATGCACATCCAGAGCACACGAGACACTGACGGTGTCTGTGATCCCAGCGACGGTGGCGTCGATGACACAATGTGCTATCCCATTACCAAGTGCGTATGAAGTGCGCCTCTGCACTTGCGCTGCACTAGACCACTCATCTGCCCACGTTCCCAGAGATATTTCCGCGTACCTTTCGCGCACGGACATCCGCACACTCCTCGGCGTCGACCCGTCCGTGCCGCAGACGTGGGTAGGATGCAAGAAAGAGATTTTTGATGCGTTCTTGGCGAAACAGGATGAGCTGTTCCAGACCCAGCTCTACATCGCGGCACTGCTCGAGCGCGGCGTGCGCGCGCTGATCTATGTCGGTGCGAACGACTACGTGTGCAACTGGGTGCGCGCGCTGCTATTTTTTTTCTTGTGCCGCTCGTGCTGACGTTTAGTGCGCTGTCACTTTTGACTTCATGTGTCCGTTCTGTGGTACGGTGGGGCGAGCAGATTGGCTCTGAGCGAATGACACTCGCACTAGAGTGGACGGGCCAAGACAAGTTCGCGGCACAACCGTTGATTGATTGGTATGTCGATGGTGAGATTGCTGGGGCGACGCGCTCTTCAGGCAACTTCACGTTTGCTTCAATATACGGAGCTGGACATCTGGTAAAGCTTTCCAGGCTAAGTTTCACATGCTCGATCGACTGATTGTATCTTGCATTTGCTGCGTGCCAGGCACCGTATGACAAGCCTAAAGCCTCCATGGAGATGATCAACCGGTGGATGGCAAATCAGGAATTGTGATGTATTATCGCTTGTCGCTTCTCTTTTCGCAGTAAGTAACATTCATGGTATCCTAGCCTGTGTGAGCCTTGGGACAGGTATCGATGGCATGTACTCTTTAGTGGGAGTGCGCTCAGTCCGTCTGTAACAGCCGTGGGCGCTATGCTCCTGCGTAGAGGACTAAATACTGTACGAGTGTTTTGTTACTTCTGCGCCGCTTCGAGTAATGAACACTCCACCCCTGCCGCCGCTATCCGGACGATCTAGATCAATTTCTATGAGGGTCGTATGAGGGGCAAATCACTTGCTGAGCGGCCGCTCATCAAAGTGTCCACTGCGCATGCTGCCATGGGGGTTCTGTTCCATCACCCCGCAAACCATCTCGTGTCTATCAGCACGATTGTATAGTAGCGCGCAAGACCGGTACACCCAGTGCGCACGTAGAGCCAGTTGGAGAGACCACACACTCTCGAGCTCCTCAATCAGCTCGGCGCGGGTGCAATGTTCAACGCGGAATTGATTACCATCAAGTGCCCTACGTTGTACCCACCGACGATGGGAGGATGTACAGACCGCAACAGTACCGTGAGGTGTCCGCGTCCTATAATACAGACGTCGAGCTGGACCAGCTTTGAGCTCATTCGAGTGTCATTCAAATGTCTGGGCCAAATCTGATTTCCACGCTAATTACTTTTGCGTTCGCCTGAGGAGAAATCTTCAGCACACGGATCAGAGGTGAGCGGTAGCGTGTATGGGTCAATCATCAAATTCATATTTGACAGGGATGCCGGATGTAATAGTACAACGTAATTCACAACAAACAAACAGGATCCTCGTGGGTTCTCTTCCGAGTCGCCCGTGCCTTGCTTAGGACTGGGAGAGAGGAGATTTATCGAGCGACGTCGCATATCTGGTAAGCCCGTTACGAAGAGGAGTGCACGTCTTCCTAGCGAGCTTGACTTGCAACCGGAATTCCTAGTTGCTCCGGTTAGCTCAATCATTCAATACAAGGCTCAATTTGGGTCCTTACCTCGTCATTAAGGGCATCCATACCTTTCTCGAGATGCTTTCCGAAAGCCGCGCATTGAGCGCTGACCTGATATCGACTGTATCAGCACAGAATGCTTTCGGTCGAGTGAACATGGGCGACTCACTGACTGCCAAATGTTGCCGAAAATCACGAGCTTCTCGCAGATAAGTGCAATGTCTGGTTTCATACCGTCAAATTTGGTCTTGAGTTCCGCCAATGCCCTTTGCTTGCGGTTGACTTCTGCAAGTTCGGCCTTCTTAGCGTTGAGGTCCCTTTCGGCTGCTAGAAGTGCGGACAAAGCATTCGGACACCAGCTCTCATCATCGGCCTAGTTTTAGCACTTACTGTTGCGATGGGTGATAAAGTACGCGAGAATTGAACCGGTGACGAACAACGTCCAGAACTGTGCAGCCAAAAAGAACCGTTATTTAATCTCACGGGATCAAGAATTGGAAGCATACTGAAAATGCTAAGGTGGCACCCATTGCAACAAGAGTGGCGGTAATCTAGATGTACAATAAATATTCGTAAGTTTATCCAAACAATCTTAAAAGGACGGAAAACATGCCTTCTCATTCCAGCTGCAACGATGCGTTAGTTATTGACACAAACAGCGTCAAGTGAGACAAGAATACGCACGTTGAAATCTGTCCTTGAAGTTTATCGATCGTGACTTTCAAATCTGTCGCTAGTTGGTCGAGTTCCACCTTTTTCTGTTCTAGGTATGCTTCAAATCTCTCGCCAAAATGTCTGACATCCATTTCGAGGTTCCTGAAATTGATCGCCATTTGCGCTGCAGTTCCGTGTTTTTCTCCCTACACGGCAAATAGTCAATAAAGCGCGTCAATCTAGAATCTTCGTGTGAACTTACGCTGAACTGTGCAAGCTCCTGGATTATGTCCTCGCGGTCCTTATCAGTCTTTATATTTTCAATCAAGTCAAGAAAGACTTGGTCATATCCTACAAATAAGGGCCGTCAAAAGGTAGAACCCGCGGACACAACTTGGGTCATACGTTTGAGGGTTGCACTCATTTCGGATGCTACATCCCGGGAGTCCCACAGGTACTTGACCCAGCGCTAGAAACAATTATATATGAGCGAACTTGACGGGAGGATGGTAAATGGCTGGTAAATTCACCTCCTTATAGCTTTCCCATTCCTTTTTGTAGCCGGCAAGCTCTGGGAAATCGCGGCCGCGATTGTCGACCATGTCTTTGAAGCCGCGATTGACACGGTCAAAGGCTTGGTCAATCTGAATAGCAGCTGTACCAACATTCTCGATGTCCTTTTCAAATTGCTCGACCTGCTCGTCGTCTTCGAGGACCTTTATGGCTTCTTTGGCGAATTCGATTTTTTCGTCGGCGGTGAGAGGTTGGGCTAGCAAGCGTTTGGCCTCGGCGAGGGTTTCCTCGTAAGATGGTGGAGATATAGTCGTCATATCTAACGCAAGGAGGCTGAAGTACGCGAATACGAGTGGGGGTTGTGTAAGGCAATGGCACTGTATTCCAAATGGCTGAGTGAACCGAGCTTTTATACGAGCAAGATGGCGGCCGAGATGAACTCAAGGTCCTCTGGCACCTTCAATGTACTGAATTGGATTGTCAGCTGAACCGAATTGATACTTCATGCTGAGCCAGAGGGCTCAAGTTTTCCGAACTCCCATTAACGCGAAGTAATTCCAATCTGAAGCTAAAGTCTGCGAGCATGTCTGAAAGGATTGGAAGGCACTGGTGGACCTTTCGATTGCATGATCGTGTATGCGATGTGATCTATCACGAATTATCGCTATGATCACAAGTCCGACGTATGGTTGGACACTCGACTTGGAAGTACGGCTACAAGCGAGGAATGTTGGAGTATTAGGTGATCCCCGAATGGAGCTTCTGGAGTTGGACAATGAGAACCGTTGTCGGATCATTTGTCCTATTTGGAGTGGTTTTTGGAAATCCCCCAGAATGTCGACAGCATTGACCGTATTAAGCAAGGCAAGCTAAATACATGTCGACTTAGATAATTAAATTCTCAAATCATCGAGCCAACGCTGTCTGAGGTATCGATTGATATAATGTTAGTAAAGACATGTTGATTGCCCACAGTATTTCACCGGCTGCTGGGAAGTTGTCAGGCACTGGCAACCAGAATGGATGGACGGACATTATTCAAACGTTGAGACGAGTCCGGTGATGCTCCAAACAAACGATCTCCAAATCTGTGGAAAAGCGGAGCTGGAGAGCAGCCGGGATTCCATGCAATATCGCTTCGACTAATTCAACTGCACGCCTCCTTACCAACAACATACGTGAGCGGACCGCGGTCAGAATGTTCAAACGGAGCATGTGCTTTCGGGTAGCTTTGCTCCTGAACTGGAGTGAATTTGTCGCCGAATCGAGGGTGACCCTCGCCGCAGTCGTAGCGGCTCGAAACGAACCACAGCAATTTGCGAGTGTGAATAGCGCAAATACAGTTCCATGTGGTCTAGAAAGTGAGTGATCCATCCGACGGGGAATGCACGCTTATCTGCAACAGTGTATTGGATAATTGGTAGGAGTTTTCCTTCTTTGCCAGAACTTTCAGAGCCCTCGAACAGTTCGATTTGAGATACCCCAAATTCGTGTTGGAGCTTAATGAAAAGGTCGTGACTTCTGATTATCCATGAGAACGCACAATAACCGTCTCGAGTTCCATTCATGTAGCACCACTAGAGATTGTTCACTCCTCGCTTATTTCATAATGTTAAGTGGAGCGGTCATTTCGCGACACAAACTGCAGAGAAGAGAGATGTTGTTGGAACGGTTGAGAGATATCGGAGATAATATGACGCACCACTCGTCGCCTTAGAGCATCAATTCAGGGACCGTATCGGAGTCATAACAATAATGTGACACGCTTGCTGTCTAGTTCAAATCGCTTGCTGTAGTAGTGTGATGGATACTTAGGCACTTCGTATCAATGCAAGTGCTCCACGAACAATATCAAAAGGTAAGTAGAGTAGAACGATTGCAAAAGTTCAACGTTGAACATTGGACGTTGAAAGCAAAGCCTAGTGCTGCTTCGCAGTCCGACGTGGATCCACGATCCGAGTCAACCAAGTGGGCCTCGTCCTCAGCCCACCACAACGCATTAGGAGCGAGACCGGTATAACTTCAATCAAATGGGGTCTGAGCAATGATTCTTTGCCTTCGCTCTGGCGTGACCTCAGTCATCCCGGTTCCGTTACGTCAAAACACTTAGCACTTGTAACAGATGTCAGAGTAATCTCTCACCGCCATCTTGTTCACGTAGAAAAACATGCGAGGCGTTCTTTTAAAACGAAATGTCCCTAGCAATGGCAGAAGGCAAAAACCACCAAGATAGAACAGAGTTTCAAGTTCACAGTCTTGAGGCGACCATTCGGACGTCGAGGGGATTATATGGAATTATCAGAAGAAAAGCAACACTGAGCATATTCTACGTTCACGCCACAACGAGGGCGAGAGTATGTAATACATCATCTTTCATCATCTCAAGGACTACTCGTTTGCCTTACCACGGTTCTCAAGTTCGGAGGCATATTTCGCCAGACCTTCCATGAGGGGCTTCGTTACTGCTCTGGCTAATCGAACCTCCATCTTGAACCTCTGCAACAAAATCAATTCAGAAACTCATGAATACATGGGATAAGTGAAAGCTCACAGGATTCGAAAGCGCAGCCATTCCTCCCTTGATATGCTCTTGGAATTGTATGGCTTGGCTACGAACCTAATGATATTGTTCATGTTAGCCGATAATAGCATCGGTATTGAACGAGCAGACCCACCGAAGACCATATTTCGGCAAATAAGACCAGCTTCTCGCAAATCAACGCGATATCAGGCTTGAAGCCATCAAACTCAGTTTTAAGATGAGCTAGAGCTTCCTGTTTCCGATTTATGTCCGCAAGTGCATTTAGTTTGCCTCCAAGTTCTCTCGCTTTATCTAAAAGGCGGTGTAAAGATGGTTTCAGGGCGAGAGTAGATGAGCATGATGGCACTCACCATCACGCTGTCTCTTGTATACAGCGAGAACAGTGCCGGCGACAGCCATTCCGAGAATCTGAAAAAGATTGTGAAAAACTATCGTCACGAATAGGGTCAAATGACAGAGATATGTACGTACGCCAAGGAGCGGGGAGCCCACAAGCGCAATAGTGGCAACCACGATCTGATTTGAAACGTCTCAGCCAGCAGCTGGCGGAATCAGACGCTGAATGCAAGCAAACCTTCTTGTCCAAACTACGGATATTCTCCATTAGCCCCGACCATGACATAATAGGAGGGAACCTACGCTTCGATTTCCCCCTGAAGTTTCGTAATTTTATCCTTCAATTTCTTCGCCTGTGCTTCTAGCTCAACCCCCTTGTCGACGATCCACTGGTCAAATTTGCCGACAAAGGCCTCGATATCACGTTTCAGGTTGAGGAAGTTTTGGGACAATTGCACAGAATCATCATGTTTCTCATCCTATAAAAGAACCGTCAATGACGATGGTAAGTCAGGTGACAGAGGAAAACGAACAATAAATTGTTGGAGCTCCTTCGTGGCATCCAGGCGATCCTGATTGGTCTGGATGTTTTCCACCATGTCAAGAAAAACCTGGTCAAAGCCTGTACCAAATCATGAATAGCATTCCGAGATATACTATGTGCAACGCACGTTTGAGAAGTGTGATGTTTTTGGACGCAACGTCGCGCGACTCCGACAGATATTGCACCCAATTCTAGTCGTTGAAAATGTCAAGATGTGTCACCTAGACGGAAGCCGAATCTCACCCCCTTGTAGCCTTTCCATTCGTGGAGGTAGGCAGAAATATCCGGGAAGTCCTCGCCGTGTTTCTCGACCATATTCTCGAAGCCGCGAGTTACATGGTCGAAGGCTGTATCGAGCTGATTGGCCCAAACACCGACCTGCTTAACATTGTCTTGAAATTTCTTGACCTGATCGTCGTCATCTAGTTCGTTAAGCGCAGCGTTCGCGCACTTGATTTTTTCTTGCTCAGTAGGTCCACCCGTCGCTGCCCAAGTGTCAATGACTTTTTGGGCATCTACAACGCTGAGGGTTGCAACGGTGGCCATGTCGAATAGATCAGAGATAAGTGCAAGCGAAAGTGCCGGTGAAGCCAGATGTCAGAGCACAGCTCTTATACAAAGGATTACAGCAACGGCCCATGGAAATTCGTGGAGATTCCGTCAAACCGAACCGAAGTTCTCGCACATGCCCAGCTGTTCTCATGATCTAACCTGCAAGACCGGTCAACCATCCCGACATACCGTGTAAGACGGTTGGAATGGAATTCGTTCAAGCTGACTGATATCTGGAGTCGGTTGGCATCGCGAACGCACAGCACCTGGTCTGCAAGTTCGGCAAAATATTCAATCCGACATGTCATAAAGATGTTCGATATGGACTTCGTTCAAGCTGGACGATTTCTGGGGTACGAAATGTTAGAATGGCCATACTCAGTGGACTCGTGTTTGCGGAGCAACTTGTTTGACATATTCAACGCGTGATCTCGTGGAGTAAAGGCTACTCCGACATTGAATGGGAGAGACATTTGGAATGGAACGCGCGCAGGCCGGACGTTAGAAATGGATGCCCATTCGCGAATTCGTTCCTGTGGATACAGAAGCCTCAGGTTGCTTGACTCATCGCAGACGCATACCTGCGAGATCGGTGTTAACCTCACTCCGAGATGTCATGGAAGGCGCTTAGAATGGAATTCGTTCATATGCGGTGATTTCTGGGGTCAGGATGTTAGAAAGGCGCTGACGGAACGCTTAAGGCCAGATGCGAATACCCACAGGTATTTGCACAGCAAGCCACTTGCGTGGCGGCTGCATGGCACCTCCACCAGCAGAGCTCCCAGCGCGTGAAAATGACAAAGCTGATATCTGAATTTCTAGTCGCGTTCGGGTGTATGTATGGTTTCGGGGTCCGGGTCCATCCTGGGGAGTCTGTCACTTGGAACTTGAGCCAGTTCATACGGGAGTTCGGTTTGGAAGGAGGTTCGATTGATCTACCACGCAGTATAAATATTAGTTCGATGATACTATGCATCCCTAGTATCTCTCGCCCCCGCTCGTCTCCTGATAAGATCGAAAATGAGTTACATCTCCCCACTCACGAATCCACGACCGTTCGTCGCTAAGATTGATAACCTTTCGGATGAGGGAATCACCATCGACAAGGGCGTCGCTCGTGCCAGACGGGATGCTGCGGACTTCGCCGGTAAATACGTTGCCAATTTTCAACTTGTCTCAGAGCTCCAAGCTAGCTTAGAGCAGTTCAGCAGCGTACGTGTCTTTTCGGTATGATACTTTCGCGACGAATTTTTAACCAGTAAAATCTAGCACTGGGTCAAAACCTTGCAAGATACCCGCGACGCTGCTTCTTCCATTTCGGCTTGGTATCTAAGTCAGACCTCTTACTTATACTCCAACTCGTACCTTGATGTATCTCTCCTGCAGGCTTTGTGGAAGTCTTCATTTCGATGATAGACGATGTCACGAATGACAATGATGTAAAGGGGCTTATCGCAGAATTCTACAGCCTGTTAGATGTTCGTTTTTCGCCAGCGGTTTCTTTGCGTTTCCTGACAAACATGCGTCTGTTTCAGGGAGGGCTCCCTTCGCAGAGATACCAACTAGATAGTACCCCAGGTGTGAAGGGCGCGTTCAACGAAATCGAAGCTCTCGTAGGTCGCGCCGTTGTCTTCCTCTTGTTGACATTGAAGCAGCCTCTCTAGGTGATCGAAGAAAGCAATCATATTGTCGACGTCCTCAAGACAACCAACGATAGCAACCGGAAGAAGGTTATTGAGGTGAGATCTGGTTACCGCTTTCAACTTCACGACGTGTTGACCTGCTGGGGTGTTATAGAACCTGAAGAAAGAGCTCGTTCCCGTGAAAGCTGGAGCCGGGGAGGTGCGGCAGGCGTTGAACAAGTACGCGGCGAAGCTCGAGTGAGCTGGCCGTTGTCTGCAAAGCAATGGAAGGAGTGGGAGCCGTGTATCAGTAACGCATTATGGTAACACCACTCATCTTCTGAGGATATTCGTGAAGAGGATTATTGGCGTGGCAGGCGAGTGCCTTGTATAGTAATCAAGAATGAGGACGGAGCATGCAAATCGCTACCCATGATGGTGGCCCATCTTCTGAAGGCCTGAGAAGTGAAACAAAAAAAAGCCCTAGTTGAATTGTGAATGATATTGTCGTGACGATGGTACTCGTTTTGACGCGGGAGTACCTTGAGCATGGACTTTGACCGCGTCTGTGGCGTACTGCCAACTTCATGACTCATACTTCAGGCCTTCAGGATGCGGCATTCATCTTGTTTGCTGTCTGTGTTTCTTCGGTGCATCCGCCGGTCGTACATTCCGCAGCTTCATTAGATGTAGTCGGGCAGCATTTAGATTGTGCGACAATTTGCAGAACTGAATGCGTTCATGGATACGGTTATGGTTTATTTGGTTATAGACATGACTTGCCGCAGCGGCAGACGCCTATCAATTGCCACCACCCGACGAAGGGGGCAATAGACGTTAGATACAAATATCCGAAGCCTGCAAGAGCGAAAGCTGAAGAAATCGTCTACTTTGCTCACAGGAGATTAGACGAGGCATCTGATGAGATAAAACGGAGAGAAAACCGAGAACCAGCCCAGTGAGGCAGGATTAGGGTTTATACGCGCCTCCCCGCGCTATGCCATTGACATGCGCTCTTAGCTCAGTCCGTGAATAACAGCACTTCCACGCAGAAATCCGGGTATTGTACAAGTATTTTATTACTTCTGTGCGGCTCCAAGTGATGAACTTTCCTCTTCCACCTCTTCCGCCGCCATCCGAATGATCTGGACCACCCTCTATGAGGGGCGGATCGCCTGCTGGAGTGGCCACTTGTCGAAGTGTCCCACTTGCGCATACTGCCGCGGGAGCTCCGTCCCATCGCCCTACGAACCGGCATATATCTTTCAGCAACACCGCAAATAGCATGCCAGACACAGCACGTACACAGAACCAGCTAGGGAAGCCAACGTCGAACGGCTGCACGCTCTCGAGCTCTTTGATATGCTCGGGCGTGAGTGTTATGTCCAACGCGGCGATGTTGTCCATCAGGTGCTCGATCTTGCGCCCGCCGACGATGGGGAAGACGTAAGGCGTTTTCTGGAGCACGTACGCGATCGCGACTGCACAGTGGGGCATATTCATTAGTGGCAGAACCCCGCGTTGAGTTGAATATCAATGCATACCAGCAGTGATGCTCGGTGCGCCAACTTCGCTGGCAACCTTCTCGAGTGCGAGGCAGACCTTGCGCTCCTCTGGGGTGCGCTCCCACTCGGGATTGAAGATCGTTCGGCCTGTTGTCCGGCATCAGAACCTCCACATCGACGATGATGAACACGACCCACCCTTCTCTCCAGTCTGTCTCCGCCGCTCTTCCTCTGCATCTGTCCGGATCTTGCCCGATTGGAGGACGTTCCACGGCGCGAGAGCCATTCCTATAAGCGCCAAGAACAGCCAGCAATCAGGCGTCGAGCACCTCAAATAAATGCGGAGCCAGTACCTTCGGTGCGCGCCATGGGGATGATATCGCGCTCAAAGTCGCGCGTGAGAATGCTCCATGCGCCCTGATACACGACAAAGGGCGTCTTGCCGGTCAAACGCGCATACATATTGGCCTTGGACACGATCCATGCGGGGGTGTCGGAGATACCCTGTGCGCCATGTCCATATCAATTGTCCACCGTGGTGAAAATGGCAACGACGTACGAGGTAGAGAACCTTTCCTGCTGCGACGAGGTGGTGCAGGCCATTCATGACTTCCTCCACGCCAGACTCCCAGTCCCACTGAGCGTTTTAAAGTCAGTATCATCAGTGGGAGAGAAGCCAACACCGAGTACCCACCCAATGCACATAGAGAATGTCGACATAGCTCGTACGCAGCTTCTTGAGCGATGCTTCCAGCGAAACATGGAGCGACTTCATGTTGTTGCCCACATATGACGACTTTTGAGGAATGTCCGCCGCGCGCTTCCAGTTCGAGGTATACTATCATCCGCATATATGCGCCTATTGGCACTCCATCGCCGCGCAAAGGTCGATCTCCAGACGCACCTTGGTCGCGACGACGATCTGGTCGCGCACCCCGCGGCTCTCGATCCACTCGCCAATGAATATTTCGGATGTCTCGTCCTGGTAATTGTTAGCGGTATCGATGAAGTTTCCGCCCGCATTGTAGAACGCATCGAGCAGCGCAAAGCTGCTCTCCTTGTCCATCTGGCCCATCCCGATCTTGGCCCACTGGTCGCCAATGCTCATTGCACCGAGACAGATTGGAGAGACGTGCACGCCCGCGAGGGGTGCGAGAGCGCGGTGCCGGCCAAGCTTGGTAGTGAGAGGCTTTGGGGGTACGAAGAACGACATGCTGTGCTGAGATGGATGCGAATGGGAGACTTGTTCTCAGTTGGTCTTATATGTGAGGATAGAGGGCAGAATTTCTCCGAGGTTCACGAGGAGGCTTCCGCGATACGAAGGGGTCGGGAAGCCGTTCCGGCTGGTTTGGTGAGGACGATGACGATGTGGGTGCCTCATGACTATGCCTGCGAAGGATAGTCTGGTACTAGACTGCAAGATGGCTTCGACGAAGTCCTTCGTGATTCCTATTACCTATCCCCAGCGAGACTCGAGGCTCACAGAATCAGAATTGAGAGACTATTTAATGCTGAGTGCGGTGGTAGAACTAGGCCCAGTAACAGAGATGCTATCTGTATGAGTTCTGCCGGCGGGAGCAACAGATAAAGCAAGACGAGAAAGGCAAAGACGAGGAAAGCCAATCAAATTGCAAATATTGCTGATTATCGCATCCGACGCGATCACGTGTACCATGTATTCGCGCGAATCTGATGACGCGTCGCACAATGGGTGAGACAAGCGGGTCCCGGTTGCTGACTCTGACTATGCACGGAGGCACTTTAAAGTCGGCTCGAGACCACGGAACAGATATCAAATGGTTGGCTGAACGTCCTCTCGGTGACTTGATTGAGACCGCTCTATTAGTCTCCAGCCGGCCTTTTTTCTCCAAAGTCGAACGAGGCTGCCTTGATAGTACCGCATTGCCCAGTGTGCTGATCAGACGAGGCGCATGCTTCTTGTCCATGTGCGGTGCACAAAGTCTCCGATACTGGAGGTAACATAGGGTATAACGCCCATGACATACCCGGCCAAGTTGCCGCAGGTCGTAGTTGCCGCGGCATCTCAAACTCCGGTAGTGCGAACGGGTAGTTAGGCAATACACGTGCAGGTTTTCCTCCGTGTCACTTGGGCCGGTCAGAACACGATCTCGTATGTGAGGTCCCCGTCTGTGGCTGTGATTGGGCGGCTTATCCGTACGCTCCTCTGTGGTCATATTCTGGAATGATCATCACCATATTTCGTAATCAAATCGAGTGTGCATGTGAGTCAAGATATCGTGATAGTCGGGCTCATCGTCGGGAGTCAAGTACCCTTGGCGGACCATGAAATCCAAAATCACTATGCCAAATTAGTTAGCTGATTGCAAGAATTTTCAACGACAGTTTACCAAGCGCAGTGTTAGCTTTGAAGAGGCCGTGGCGAATGCGTTGGACGATTTCTTCCAATGGAAGGAGCTATTACCCGATCGAGGATGAGGGGCATTGAAAACATCCGATAAGCAAGGCGTACCTCAAACGATTCAACTTCATCGTCAAGTGGCTTCGGGATGAACCGGCTTTTGTCTGCTCCCGGGGGTGTGCGCAAATCGAATACATATCTGCAAGCAGGATCAGACCCGAGACAACAGCCAGAACGGTAGACTCACTCTACCTCCGGTTGAAGCCATCCCGCAGGAGTCCTAGTATGCAGAGTCCGTCAGCACCTGCTGTGATCACGAGAGTTGCGCATACATGCCTGTAGAAGTAGCTGATGGTGCCTACTGGGCGAGCATGCTCTCGAACGATGTCCTCCTCCAAGCTGGCCTCTTCCATCGACTCCTTGACGAGGCTCTCGAATATGCCGAGGCCAGACGGGATGCCGCCAGCGACCGAGTTGTCAAAATAGCCCGGCCAGGTCTGCTTTGTCCTTGCACGCATGGGGACCCACATCCTGCACGATCGGGGCGCATCTTCGTCCGCCTCGTAGACGGACATGTGCACGCCGTACGTGACGACGCCAAAGAGCGCACACGCCGCGCGCTCCATCATGAACGCATAGTTCCCCCCATCGTCCGCCGCGTCGTCCTGGTCAAGCAGCTGGGCGAGCTGGGCCTCGGCGGTGGGCGCGTCGTGCGCTCCGAACGGGTTGCGGAACACGGGATACATTTCGTCGCGCCATTTGCGCGGGCCGATGACATCTGCCCATCGTCCCTCGTCGCGCCAGCGCTCGCACAGCTCCTTCATCACGCGTGTGCGCGCGAGGGACGTCTTGAGGTGTGGGGCGAATCCGACGCACAGGCGTCCAGCGTGCTCTGCAAACTCCCAGCTCGGACTGTCGCTGGCGCGTGTATTCTCTTCACGGAGCTGGGCTACGATGGCAGGGCGGAGGAGCCCTATGGCAGGAGAAGAAAGGTCGGCGGCGAGGCGCCATGGAACGAGAGGTTCTGCGGCGGGGTCGTTGTGGTCGACGGTGAAGTTGTCGCAGGTTTGGACGACTTGGAGGAGCGTCTGGGGCGCAGAGGCCGTTGGGCCGGCCATCCTGGTGACGACTGAGGCCAAGAAGCCTGAGAACCGCGAGCGGACTCGTCGGTAGCGGCGGTTGCCGGGAGCTGAATAGGGCAGGCGTGGTGTTCACTCTCCAGCATCGACTTGTTGGAAAGACTCGGGATGACGATTGTATTCAAACCTCCGAGACATTGACATACTGGTGCTGGTGAACAGTCATTTTGAGGCTGATTTAAGGTGTCTCTAGATGACCAGAGTGCAGCCTACTCATCAGTCACTACACTCCGAGTCGGTAAGTTCACCTATTCGATTGCTTTCGGAACGAATCTCGGAACACATCTTGGTGGTCATAGCGACTATGTATCCCAAGCTCCTGCCCAAGGAGGAGCGCAATGAAAGCGGGAGGCCTGCTTGCCGACGATGCTGTTGATGCACATTGACGACATGCCTGTCGGTTACACTGAACCTGGATACGTATTTGAACTTATGCTCATCTTCCAAACTATTTCTAGGCTGTTACACCGGCATTGACGGCTTATCGTTTCGCATGAGTTGCGGTCCAACATGCCTTTGCCCAGGCCTCCTTCTGTGTGCTTCCCAGCTCCATCATGCACGATCTCCGAGAGTGACCCACTCGAATACCGAGTTCTAGTGCGTCTCTCAGTCACTCTCGAGATAACGCACGCTGTATATCCAGTAAATCCTCTTCTGCTACAAACTTATAACTCTACGCCAGCTTGCCATATCTCCCCCTTTCCGTATTCGACGCAGCGTCTCATCCAGACAAGGATAGCCCTGGGACAGCTTATGAACGTCGTTTAACTCGTCGTCACTTGATCAGAGGAATCAGCGTAACAGGAATCCCCAATGCGTGCGTTTCCGCTGCCATCGCTCAGCAATCGCCCCTTCCGAGAGAATGGTTTTACAAAGCCCGCGGAGCGCGATCTGACTCTAGAGTGCACCCACTCTCGGCACCGTATGTGTGTCTGAAAGGTATATGTCCCCCCTCGTAGTTTGTACCCACAGTGTGCCCTGCTCACGATCTCGACATTCAAACCCCTAACCCTCTACAACAAAAGACCCCTGCCCACTATGTCCCAGTCCACAGGCCGCTTCTCGTCATTCTGGGTCCCCGCCCCCGAGCCGGAGACGAAGCTCGGCCGCCACCGCCAGCTCGCGCCCCTCGCAGGGCTGCATGTGTCCCCCATCTGTCTCGGCGCGATGAGCATCGGCGACCAGTGGGCCAAACTCGGGATGGGCCAGATGGACAAGGAGAGCAGCTTCGAGCTCCTAGACGCGTTCTACAAGGCCGGCGGAAACTTCATCGACACGGCGAACAACTACCAGGAAGGCTCGTCAGAAGTGTTCCTTGGCGAGTGGATGGAGAGCCGCGGGGTGCGCGATCAGATGGTGGTCGCCACAAAGGTGCGTGCGGACGGCGCTATGCAACGGAGATGCGCTCATGTTGGGGACGGATGCCGCGCAGTATACGACGAACTTCAAGCGCGCGGCGAACATTCCGCAGAAAACGAGCTATGTGGGGAATAATATGAAATCGCTCCACATTTCCGTCGAGACGTCGCTGAGGCAGCTGCGCACCACATATATCGACATTCTCTACTTGCACTGGGTATGCTGAGCTGTATCGCCACCCGACACTACCGCTGACGCTCAAAGCTATAGTGGGACTGGTCGTGCGGCGTCGAGGAAGTGATGAACGGCCTGCACCACCTCGTCGCGCAAGGCAAAGTGCTCTACCTGGTTGGTGCCACGTTGCTGCGTGCTATGTCTCACCATAGCTGACTAGAGCACTGTGCAGGGAATTTCGGACACGCCTGCTTGGGTCGTGTCCAAGGCGAACATGTACGCCAGGCAGAATGGCAAGACGCCGTTCGTCGTGTATCAAGGAGCATGGAGCATTTTTCAGCGCGACTTTGAGCGTGACATTATCCCCATGGCTCTCGCTGAGGGTTCGTGTCAGCCGGTGTCTCAACCTCCCGCCACTAACCCGCATGCGCATGCAGGAATGGCACTTGCGCCATGGAACGTCTTGGCCTCAGGTAAAATCCGCACCGACGAAGAGGAGGAGCGTCGGCGGCAGACTGGTGAGTATGGTGAGTGCCATTCTTTTCCTCAAGATGCTCATGAAATCTAAACGCACACATTTCGGGAAATACTAGGTCGCACGATCACTGGACCGGATTGGGAGCGCACTCCAGAACAGAGAAAGCTGTGTCAAGCGCTGGAGAAGGTCGCCAAAGAAGTAGGCGCGAAGAGCATCACTGCAGGCGTGCTCCCCTTCTACTTATACGCAATCCCAGCATAGACTGACTCGTAGCGTACAGTCGCGATCGCATATGTGATGCAGAAGACGCCTTATGTCTTCCCCATCGTCGGAGGACGCAAAGTCGAGCATCTGATGGACAACATTGCAGGGCTCGACGTCGCCCTGACTCCAGAACATGTCACGTTTTTGGAGAGCGTGCTGCCGTTCGATCCAGGATTCCCTCTTGCGATGATTGTGAGTGGTGCATGATTCGCCGTGGTCTGGCCGGCTTACCTCGTCTGCAGGGAAATGGCTCGGAATACGTTCCGATGTACAGCTCCGCCGGCACGTTCGACAAGTGGCCGAAGCAGGAGGTGATCCGTCCGGCCAAGTGAAGAGGACGTCGAGGGGACAAAATCGTCGAGCGTCGGGTAACTCTACAACAACACATGTAGTAGATCGTTACCAATGGCATCCTCACTGTGAGCGGTTCTGGAGTGTCTGGATGTCCTGCAAGCCCGAAGGAGCTATGGACGATCAAAACTGATACTGGCGTATCTATAGATGACTATTCAGAAGTTCAACAACACGACTGTCGCCAGTCTTCGTGTGCTAGCCAAAACCGCCACGATCGAGTGGTTTCACGCAGACTTGGTAAATCCGAACCGAGCACCCATAAAGTCCGGATAAATACATGTCCAGGGAAAGCAACATCAAGCCCGAGTCGAAATCATAGCATGAAAGTGGGGAATGGGTTACAACACCACGCCGCTGGGCCCTACTTCACGAAGACGATACTCGGATCCCCAGAGCCCGACGCGACGCCATCCGTCGCCTCCTGGCCCGGCATCGGCATCGGCGCGGCGAAGCGTACGCGGGCGAGCACGGGCTGCTCGCAGCACGGACACGCATCCGCACCGAGGCTCGTGAGGCACGCTGCGCACACCCGGTGCGCGCACGGCCGCAGCTCCTCCGTCGCCATC